CAAACACGAACAGCATTTCGATTGCAATGGGTATTCAATCCAGATGATGATTTTAAAGCATCATGGCTCCCAGTGGCTTCCCGATATCTGAAGGAGAAGAGCGCGTTCCAGACGGCCGCAGAAGCAGCGCATCCGAAAGGGCGATGGTGCGGTGACCGCCGCCTTTTTTTCGATGGCCAGCAGCCAGCCGGTTACAACAATGCTGTTTCAAGTGAAAACGCAATCGAGGCTCTGCGTGTCCTTGTAAAGTGGATGTTGCGGCACTGCCGTGATGCTGTAGGCTGCGGTGCAGCGGTCTGCAGTGCCCGTTTAATTAGCCTCGGTGTACGCCCATCCAAGCACTATCCAGGCTCAAAACATGCTTAACTTTCGAGATCTGCGCTTTCCAAATGTTTGTTTTATAACTGGCTTTACAAAATGACAAGGCCACAAAACGAATGAATGTTAAATGCACGTCAATAAAATTAAGTGTAAACATGGGAACACGATGAATGCAAATCAAATAGGTTAATTTAGCAAGCCCAACATAGCCATCGTGATCATGCAGCGAGTTCCAGTCAAGTTTATTTTGTTTAACTCAAAACAAATATATATATATATTTTATTTCAATCAGGTAAGGCCCACTGAGCTCTATAATTAGCTCTTTTTTTCAGAAGCGACCTATCACAAACGATAGCTCAACGAAGCGGCTTATCATCACGCGGCAACTTAGAACAGCAGACACGTACTCGAAACGCGTGATGTTGACTAAATGTGGACGGGGTTAACGAAAAACCGGAGGATCTCGGAGAAAAATCCACGCGATCACCGGGGGGGGGGGGGGGGGTGGGGTGGATGGGGGGGGGGTGGGGTGTGGGGGGGGAGAGACCCGCACACTCAAAATATACAGCAGGCATTGTCAGGTTTCGAACCCACGACCTCCTGCATACCAGGCGAGAGAGTTGACATCTCGCCTCCGCGGCGCCCCTGGTGAGACGTCAAGAGATCAGGGCAACGTCCTCATTCGCAAGCGTGACCTGGCTCACCCACGTGACGGAAACAAACTGAATACGATACAATTAGAGCAACAGAGACACGGGGTACGTGTGTGTGTATGTATTGTGGGGAGCGGTAGTGCAGCGGCTCACGATGGCTTTCGCCACCAAACTTATTCACGATCGAGTGTTTTTTTTTTTAATCTGTTGGGTGAGATCGCGCGCAAATGTGTCGTACACCCCCACCTCCACCCGACACAGCCAATCAGTAGGCTTCGTCGCGCGAACGGAACGTGCTCAGTGTGTTACTACGGCTGACACTGTGACGTCGAATCGCCCCGCCCCACAAAAGCGCGGGGCTCGGGGCGGTCGCCCCGGTTCGCCGTGCCCCTGTGGACGGCTCGGGACCATTCGTTGGCTCACGGGTGACGATGGCAGCAAGCGGGGAGATAGAACTCAGCCGAGAGGACACTGCGCCCCTCGCCGCGCGCGGAGATGGCGCCATCAAATCCGTCCGATCTGCGGCGTCACGAGATGCGTTTGCTGCGGCGTCGCGAGATCGCGAGGGACAATTGGTGGGAGGGAGCGCTTGCAGTAGACCTTAATCACGGCCGATGGTGATGATGACCGTGATGATGACAACATGGATTCGGCGGTGATGGTTGGCATCGTGACACGACGGTCAGTGAAGGTTCCCTGTGCGCATTCGCTCGGCGGGAGGTGCAGTTCAGTTTGCGTTCGTGGGTGCCACGGTGGCTAGGAGATGTTAACTACCTCGCCTGGTATACAGGAGGAGGTCGTGGGTTCGATCCTGACCCTGACAATGCCGGTTGCTGCTGTATATTCGAAGTTTGCGTGTCTCTCTCTCCCCGTTTGTCGCGTGGATGTTTTCTCCTGGTCCTCCGCTGTTTCCCTCCACGTTGACGATCAACGCGCCTTCAGAGTATCTGGCTGCCTTCGACATTTCCACGTGATGATGATGATGAGCCGCTGCGTCAAGCTCCATCAGTCGTGAAGGCCAGGTCCGCTTCTGAAAAAAAGAGCTCTGTAGCCCAGCGGGGACCTCACCTGGTAAAATAAAATGAATGCACAGTTAGTTAATAAGTCATCGCCCGACCACTCTGTACCGCACGGGGGAGGAGGGTGATGTGGGAGTGGGGCTGCAGGGGGGCTGACAGAGGCGGGAGGGGGGGCTACCAAACCACGCTGGCCACTGGTGTGGCTGCCTGGCCACTGGTGTGGCTGGATTGCCACTGGTGTGGCTGACTGGCCACTGGTGTGTCTGCCTGGCCACTGGTGTGGCTGGCTTGCCACTGGTGTGGCTGCGTGGCCACTGGTGTGGTTGGGTGACCACTGGTGTGGCTGACTGGCCACTGGTGTGGCTGCCTGGCCACTGGTGTGGCTGGCTTGCCACTGGTGTGGCTGGATTGCCTCTGGTGTGGCTGCGTGGCCACTGGTGTGGTTGGCTGACCACTGGTGTGGCTGACTGGCCACTGGTGTGGCTGCGTGGCCACTGGTGTGGCTGCGTGGCCACTGGTGTGGTTGGATGGCCACTGGTGTGGCTGACTGGCCACTGGTGTGGCTGGCTGGCCACTGGTGTGGCTGGCTTTCCACTGGTGTGGCTGACTGGCCACTGGTGTGGCTGCGTGGCCACTGGTGTGGCTGCGTGGCCACTGGTGTGGTTGGCTGGCCACTGGTGTGGCTGACTGGTCACTGGTGTGGTTGCGTGGCCACTGGTGTGGTTGGCTGGCCACTGATGTGGCTGGATGGCCGCTGGTGTGGCTTCGTAGTAGTTTGTTGTCTTTCCCCAGCACCTCCGATTAGGACGGTTGGCTACGTACGGTGCGAACGAAGTTCAACGTGGTACATACAAAGGTGGTGTACACAACGAAAAGAAAATGCGTCTTTTAGAGCGAAACAGAATCCCAGCATGCTCTGCATGTAAAGATGCCATACCATCACTCCGTCTCCGTGGTGAATATTCTCTTTGTCGCGTTCACAATTTTCACATGTCACTCTGTATCATAAGAAAGTGGGTGGATATATTAATAGGTGAGTTGGGTGGGTGGGTGAGTGAGTGAGTAATTCGTTGTGTGGGTCGATGGGGAAAGTTAGTAGCTGGGTGAGCGGGTTGGTGGATGGGTAGGTGGATAAACATGTCAGGTGGACGGGTGGGTGAGAGAGTCAGTGGTGGGAGTCTGTATGTGGATATGTAAACGAGTGTGGGAGTTCGTGTATAGGCGAGTGATTGGTGAGTAGATAGTTGAGTCGCTGGGTCGGTGTGTAGATAAGTGGGTGGCTGAGTGGCTCGTTAAGATGAATGAGTTGGTAGGTGGTTGCGTGAGTCGGTGGATAGGTATGCATATGAGTGAGTATATAGGTGGGTGGGGATGTTGGTGATTGCGTGTGTGCATAGGTGTGGGGAAGCAGTGGTGCAGTGGTTAGCGCGCTGCGCTACGAACACAGCAGACCCCTGAGTTCGACTCCCGCTCACGTAACACCAAGTTGAGCCGAGAAGGTAGTTGAGTGCCTGGGTAGCTGAGTGAGAGAATAGTTGAGTGGCTATGAAGTTGGATGGCTGGGTAGTTGAGTTAGTGAGTCGTTGAGATATGGCATAGTTGAGTGACTGGGTATTTGACTGACTGTGTAGCTGAGTGACTAGTTCACTGACTGGGTAGCTCAGTGACTGTGTAGTCGAGTGACTAGTCAAGTGATTGGGTAGTTGAGTGACTTGATAGTTGAGTGGCTGTGTAGTTGAGTGACGGTGTAGTTGAGTGACTGGTGGTGGGTGGTGGTTTCTGCGTGCGCTGTATAAAAACACTCGCGGAGCTGCCGTGGGTGGGGTCACAGCCACCAGCGCGGAGCGTCGCTCACGGCCTCCCTCCCACGCCGCCTCCACCAAACCCCTCCACACCCCGCCCCGACAGCTTCAAAAGCGCCGCTTCCAGCTCCAGCAGCCCCCCCCCCCCCTCTCTCCAACGTCCTCCAGAACGCGCTCGCGAGAGAGAGAGTGAGAGAGAGCGAGAGACGAGGTGGAGTAGGAGATGGTGTAGGAGGTGGTGGAGGAGGAGGTCTCCCAGGCGCGGCACTCTTCACACAGCGCGGGGCTCGAACTTTTCATTTGCAACCACGAGGCCGAGGGACGGCGGTGAGCAGCAGCAGCAGCAGACAAGGCGGCTTGGCAGCTCGGGGCGAGTGGTGTGCGCCTCTGCAAGCCCGCTTCAACAATAGGCGTGCCCGGTTGCTTTGGCCCCTGGGTTTGTGTGTGAAGAGGGCTGCTGCTTGCTTGTGTCTTGGTATTGGCCACACGCACGCACACACACGGACAGAGACGGAGGGACAGACAGACACACGCGCACGCACGCAGCCTGCAGCATTCACTGACAACTCAACCACCACCAACAGCGATATCATTATCAGCAGTAGCACCACCACCATTAACAGCGGCAGCGGTGGTAATAGCAGTAGCAGCAGCAGTAGCAACAGGTTCAGCAGCATCACCAGCAGCAGCATCACCAGCAGCAGCAATACACAATTACAATCATCATCATCAGCAATACACAATTACCACCATCATCATCAGCAATACACAATTACCACCATCATCATCAGCAATACACAATTACCACCATCATCATCAGCAATACACAATTACCATCATCATCAGCAGCAATACACAATTACCATCATCACCATCAGCAATACACAATTACCATCATCATCACCATCTGCAGTACACAATTATCATCATCTGCAGTACACAATTACCATCATCATCATCTGCAGTACACAATTACCATCATCATCACTATCTGCAGTACACAATCACCATCACCACCATCAACAATACACAATCACCATCATCATCACCATCGTCAATACACAATCACCATCAGTATCACCATGAGCAACACAAAATCACCATCTTCACCACAAGCATCATCATTAGCAGCAGCACAATCACCATTGTCACCACCATCAACACCACCACCATCCGCAACACGATCGCCATCTGTACCACCATCATCAGCTGTAGCAGCGCCATCACCATCACCACCACCGCCACCACCACCGCCATCGTCAGCAGCTATAGCGGCACCACCATCCAGCAGCAGCAGCAGCACACAGCCGGGCACCCAGCTGACATCTTGCGGCGGCACCATGGGGCGGAGAGATTTGCGCCACCTGGACCATCTCCTCGCCCCTGGGCGAGGCGCACCGCTCTCTTCCTCCTCCTCATCACCGCCGCCGCCACCGCCGCTGTCCGTCAGCATCCTCCTCCTCCTCCTGCTGCTGCTCCTGCTGCTGCTGGCACCTCAGCCGGCAGAGTCCTGCGGACCCGGTCGCTTGAACGGGGGCCGGTGGCGCCCTGCGCGCAAGCTGACGCCGCTCGCCTACAAGCAGTTCGTGCCCAACGTGGCCGAGAAGACGCTGGGCGCCAGCGGCCGCTACGAGGGGAAGATCGCGCGCGGCTCCGAGAGGGTTCCGGGAGCTGACGCCCACTACAACCCCGACATCGTGTTCAAGGACGAGGAGAGCACGGGGGCCGACCGCCTCATGACGCAGGTGAGGGTGCCTTGATGGGGGGGTGGGGGTGGTGGGGATTAGGTGAGGATGGATGATGATGTGGAGGAAGACGAGGATGATGATGTAGAGTAGGATGACGGGGATGTGGAGGAAGACGACGATGATTGGGATGAGAAGAATGATGGTGGGGATGAGCAGGAGCATGTGGAGGAGGATGATGATGATGTGGGCGAGGTTACAAGAGAGGGCGGAGGAGCGAAGCTCACAGCAGCGAGCGGAGCGCCGGGCGGATGAAACGCCCGCAGAGTGGGGAAGCGTACAGGTGTTGGAGGTGGTGGTGTTGTTGGTGTTGGAGGTGTTGGTGGGTCTCGATGTGAGTATATGGGCCCCAGACAGTACCATATATGGGTATCTATGTGAGTCTGTGGGTGTATGTGAGTCTGTGGGTGTATATATGAGTACTGTATATGGGACTCGGTGTGAATATTTGGGTCCCAGTGTGAGTACTGTATATGGGTCTCTATGTAAGTCTATTGGTGTCTGTGTGAGTCTATTGGTGTCTGTGTGAGTCTATTGTTCTCTATGTGGGGTACACGGGTCTCTGCGAATCTATGGATCTCTGCCTTCCTCGCATGGCCGATGTTGTTGTTGTTATCGAGCAACGGCTTTAATTTCCCAAGTTTGAGAGTTGACGGTCCACTGGGTGATTGGGTTGGTGGACGCGCGCTCGTTGCTCTTGCCACCTGTCCGGGTTCGACCCGGGACGATAAAAGGCAGCGCTGCCGCGTCTGTGTCCGTCGTGACGACGGGGGGAGCGGTGGTGCAATGGTTAGCGCACCGCGCCATGACATCACCTGGCGAGCCGAGTTCGATTCCCGCTCCACGGTCAACAACCGAGTGACGATTATCTGACGTGCTCTGGGTCTTCCACCTAGGTCCACTCGGCCTCAAATGACGACCCCGGTGCGATGTTTTGCTAAACAATTGCCACTTGGGGATGGCTCCGGTGGCAACCTTAACCAACCTATCCACTAAGACAAAGATCCCCCGTGTAGCCTTAACAGACTGTTGGGGCAAGTGATGTTATCGAGCACCTACGAAGGTCGACACGGCACACAACAAGGGTAGGTGGCCAACACCACGCCCGGCCGCCTTTGTCTCCCCAGTGGCGATGTGTACACGTCTTTTTTACACGTCGCACCAGGTACGCATTTGATGCCGAGTCCACCTAGGGGAGACCCAGTGCTGGTTCGGATAATCTTCACGAACCGCTGCAACTACCGCTCCCCATCCAACCTATTCATTCGCACACTAATTCTCAACCATTCATTTGAATTCACTCACCCACTCCTTCATTCATTCTGTCACTCATTCTCCCAAGTCACTCAATCGCCCACTCACCCACTCACTCACCCGCTCACTCACCCACTCGCTCACGCACCCGCTCACTCACCCATCCACTCACCCACCCACTCACCCACCCACTCACCCACCCACTCACTCACCCACTCATTCACCCACTCATTCACCCACTCACCCACCCACTCACTCACCCACTCACCCACCCACTCACTCACCCACTCACTCACCCACTCGGGTTCTTCCCACGTGTCCGCGGATCGGCGTCTATTTGTGAAGTTCGGGTGACACGACTTGATGTCTGTCGAGATTTGGTGGCGGTGGTGGTGTAGCGGTTAGCGAGCTGCGCGATTCTCGCTCACGGCCAACACCGGTGACGATTATTTGAACCTATCGTGGGCATCCCCTAGGTCGACTCAGCCTCAAATGAGTACCTAGTGCTGTGTGCAGCTAAACATCGCCACTAGGGAGACAAAGGCGGTCCGGCGTGATGCTGGCGACCCATCCCCTCGTGTACCGTTCCGGCCTTCATAGGTGCTCGCTAACAGCACTTGCCCCAAAGGTCTGTTTCAAGCTATATGGGGGATCTTTGTCTTTGTTTATCTTTGGTGATATTGTGCTGACGATCTCCTCGGGCAAGCTGCAGAGTTCGAATCGACCCCAGGCTGTCTGAGAACTGTCCCCCGGGTTTTGCTCTCTCTGTGAAAGGTGGCGACCCTAACGAACGCGTTGTGCGCATCACTGTGAACGTGTAATTACGAGTAGCTGGGTCGGGTGGGCGAGTAGGTGAACCCACGTGCCGAGTCATATACACCACTCTCGTGTGGTATGGGAGAAGACACGTATGTAGCAGACATGAACATGTCAGTTTTCACGCATGTGCACATACCATGTCGATGAGCGGCCTAGTGTAGCGGTTGGCGCGCTTGCGCGACGAACCCGGCGACTCGAGTTCGATTCCCGCTCACGGCCAACACCAGTGACGATTGTCTGACGGTCCTGGGCCTCCCCTAGATCGACTCGGCCCAAATGAGTAATTGGTGCGGTGGCGATGTAGTAAACATCGCCACTGGGGATACAAAGGCGGCAGGGCGTGGTGTTGTTGGCCATCCAGCCACGCTCGTGTGCACTTCCGGTCCTTCGTAGGTGCTCGCTCACAGCACTTGCCCCAACAGTCTGTTGAAGGATACACAGGGAGGTGGGGGGAATCTTTGTCTTTGTTTTGTCATCGCGAACACGCAAGTGCACTTCACGATGACGCACAGACGGGGGGGGGGGGGAGAACTTTACACATTACGGCACGAAACACAATCATCATAGCGCTTATGCAATAGTCACCAACAACAACACACTCTTTGCTGTTAGCGAGAGCCTATCGAGGCACGATGAGGTCGTGCGCTGTGCGCATTGTGCCCGCCCGCCTTTGTCTTCCCACTGTCTCGTGCTGGTGTACCAGTTCAGCATGTGGTAGACTTTCGCTATCGATATCATCCATAAGAGGTTAAACCCGCCACCACCCGACACAGCCAATTAGTTAGAGGTTTGTCGCGTAAACAGAACGTGCCCAATTCGTTACTAGTACAGCACACCGGTGTGTTCGTGTTAAACGTGTCTGCAGACACGTGTAACGTATTCCCCAGATAGCCTTAACAGACTGCGCTTGTTAGCGAGCGCCTGTTAAGGCCCGATCTGCACACGAGACGGTGGGTTGGCTCCAAGCCAGCAATGATATTTACACACCGCGAAGGCGCAGTCGATATCGTGGGGGGGGGGGGGGGGGTGGAACGGTTCGATCATTATTCGGCATCGATGTTGTTGGGGCTGTGAGCGAGAATCGAACTCGGGATCGCCGGGATAATTCGTAGCACCAGTGCGCTAACCACTGCGCCACCGCTCGCGGCAATACGCACTGGAAAATTACGTAACTCGTCGCGCGCGGACGTTCGATTATCGTGGCTACTCAGTCACGTGGAGTCGGAGCCTCTAACTAAACTATACACTATATATTAAACTATATATATATTTAGAGGTAAGACCCACTGAGCTAATTGGCTCTTTGTCATAATCGACCTGGCCACAAATGATAGCTCAGCGAAGTGGCTTATCGTGTGGACGTGTATAGCCGTAGACAAATACTCTAAACGCGTGATGTTGATTCTAAATGTGGAGAGAACAATCCACGTTACTGGGCAGAGAGAGAGAGAGACACGCAAACTCCAAATATACAGCAGCAGGCGTCAGGGTCGGGATCGAACCCACCACCTCCTGAGGTAGTTAACATCTCCTAGCCACCGTGGCTTCTACGGTGACGGTAGTGTTCGCGGTAGTACAAGAACTCGTACAAGTACTCGTGAACGGGACTCGCGCCTGAATTCCTTAGCCACGCATGACGATGTTGCCGACGACGATTAGGGAATGGAAATCACGCAAGTGAAGTTTGTCGCTAGAGAGTTTTACTGCAGTATATTGTGCAGTATTGTATAATGTTGCAGTATTGTATAATGTTGCAGTATTGTATAATGTGCAGTATTGTATAAAGTGCAGTATTGTATAATGTGCATATAATATACCCATAGCTGTCAACCCCTTATCAGTGCCCTTACCTTATTACAGACCAATTCAGACCTCATTGGTTCACCCCGTGCCCCTTATAAATCTCAACGTTCATCCTACAAAGTCCCATCACAAGGGAGAAACACAAACACAGCGACAATTTTCTTTTTTGCCCGTATTGAAACGGCTGTAACGCCGTATGAACCTGAAAACTCAACTTACCTGCACAAGGATACGGAGTAAACCGTGTGGGTTTACAGCGATGTATACGATTACGCACTGAATGCATTTCCACAACTCACAAGTATAATGTCACTCATCACGACCATCACAACCTTTCATATCACCACCATCACAATCATCATAACCACCACCGTCAATGTTATGATCTGTGCAATCATTATCACATTCACAATCATTGTCACATTCATGATCATGATCACATTCACGATCATTATTTACAATGACACCCAATCGTCACGTTTGCGCCCGAGCGAAACGAATCTTGGCTAAAATGTTCGCGTCGAAGACCCCATTTGTGTACTCGCCGTATGGATAATGTAAACAAACAGCCACCGCTGGATGTGAATCTCCCCAGCGGTTGTTGATCATGGGGGTTGTTTGACCATACTTCACCACGATGGTCTTTTACTAGTTAAGAAGTTGGCTTGGCGGGGGGGGGGGGGTGGTGTAGAGCCAGAATATTGTTCATGTATGTCTCTCTGTATATATGTTGAATTTCTTTCGCACCGTACGTAGCCAACCGTGCCAATCGCCTCCGATGTGACTCGTGACCGGGAATCGAACCCGGGTGCGCCAGGGTTTATCAGCAGGAGCGCATTCTCACCAAAACCAAGCTACCCCGCCACGTCCACGCGTTTGTCACCGTCGGCCACACTCCATCCACCGCAGCCAGAAGGCCCTCCTCCTCCCCAATCTAACGCCACCTAATTAACAATCGCCTGCCAGGCACCTGCAGCAAATCCGGCCCAGGTGTGTTGGCTTAGCGGTAGAGCGAGCGACGAGTACCACTTTTCTGCGTTCGTCAACATTTTGCCTGTCCTGTGGATAATGCCCTCGTCACCCGGCAGTGGAAAGTGACGCATAATTACCACCACCGTTAACCGAGGGCTGCGTGAACGGCTGACGAGCTGTCAACCAACCTTGGTGCTTATTTGGGCAGGAAATCGCAGTGACTTGGTGACT